CAGCTTAGGCAAGTGTTTGCTAGCATTAGATTGGCCCACAGTCCCAGGCGGGTTGGGCAATGCAGGGAGACAGAGGGTGGCTCTGGGGACAATCTATAGAGCGGGGAAATGGTTTCAGCAGAGGGCTGCAGATGGACCGAGGCTTGGAAACACGGCTTTCACGTACTTGGGGGCCGGGCATGCTGGGATGCGACAACGGGTGTCGCGACCCTGCTTGGGATGCCTGCATCCCACGTCTGAGTGTGCGAGTGCAAGTCCTGGCTCTGCTCCCAACTCCAGCTTCCTGCTAATGTGCACACACAGGAGGCAGTCGGCGATGCCTCAGCTACTGGCTCCCTGCCAGCCACGTGGGAGAATCAGACTGAGTTCCCAGCTCCTGGCTTTGGCCTGGCCCAGCTCGGCTGCTGCAGATATTTGGGGAGATCTCTCTCTTTCTCTCTCTGTCCCTCAGCCTTTCAAATAAATAAAATGAAATACATAAATAAAGCAGTACCACCAAGAAATGAATTCACTTGCTGTCCAAGAATGTTAAGCTAGATGGTTTCGCCTAACGCTTTCTCTGTGCCTGACTCGTGCATCTGAAGATTACTTTATTAACAAAGAATTCAAAGCATGAAGATAGAGGCCGCTGGAGGTCAGAGAGGGGAAGCAGTCCTCAGTTGTGCATAGCAGCTCCTCCGCTGCTTTCATGTTAAAGCCAACTGCCCACAGGGGCAGAAGAAAGAACCTTTCCACCCTTCCTCGTCTTTCCTGGCTGTCAGAGCACATGACGCCCCTATCTGAAAGGCTGCCGAAAGACGACAGTTACCCTTGAGCTCAAGAAACGAGCCTGGTCACAGCCATAACTTGTTTCTCTTAAAACTTACTCACAATTCAACTATGTGCAAGGAAACAGTTTTCATCAGTTTGCCATTTTGGTTCACAACAACTAAAATGATCAGGTAATCCACTTTAAATAAGCCATCTGACACATTACTTGGACATAACTGAGCAAAAAGTACAGATGCCACCCCATTTTAACTCCCACCTGTCATAAAATCTGTTAACATTAGGGGTGAATTCTAAGATATTGCAGAATGGACTAAAATGAATTTCAAGGCCACTAAAAATCTGGATTATTTTGAAAACAGCAAATTTTTATGAATTCAGAGTTAACCAATTTAGAAAAAGAATAGTGTCAGCTCAAGTAAAACTTTGTGATACCTATTAAGGCAAATTGTTTTTCCTATTAACATATTAGTAATTTTGTATAGAAACAATAGCACTAATTACAGCGGAACCTAAAATTACTTGCTACAATGTTCATTAGCACTTAGTTGATACTGAACAAAACAATTTCTGATATTCTTAAGATAGTTGAGCCATCAGAGACACAACATATAGTTGCTGATTTTCAGATTTGGAAACTGAGACTCAGAGGATTCCGTGCACAAACTTGAGCAAAGGGAGGTCTGGGGGCAGATCTCTCAGGTCACTGACAAACGCTGTCAATACCGTATCACAGGTAATGGAAACCCACAGCTAAGTCAAGAGATGCTGTGCAGATGCCTGCATTATTCAGTAGACTGCGCTAAACCCAAAAGAGGGAACAGGTATACGGGATTCCAAAGAAATCCGCGGTCATAGCAAGGAAGGTAAAGCTGGAAAGCTAAAGCTAACACAAGGCTTAAATTTTAGCACAAGATTGGTTTGCATGCTGATGTGGGTTTACATTTATGAAGCAAGGAGCAAAGATCACTCCCCAGGAGAAGGGGAGGTGCACAGATGCTGGAGGGGGCGGGGTGCAGAGGAAGACCAATTGCACAGGGCAGATTGAGGAGTAGAGCAAGAGAAGACACTGGCACTATAGGAAGACATAACTGAACAGAAATTTCATTTAAAGATGTTGTTCTCCATCTACTAGAAGCACAGAGCAAAATAGAGAGCAAGAGAGAGAGATTGAGATTGGGATTGAGATTGAGATTGAGACTGAGATTGAGACATCTTCCAGCTGCTGGTTCACTCCCCAAATGCCTGCAAGAGCCAATGCTGCCACATGGGTTGCAGGGACCCAGCATTTGAGCCATCATCTGCTGTGTCCCAGGATGTAGCAGCAGGAAATTGGATCAGATACAAAAAAGCTGGTACTCAAATTGACACTCCGCTATGAGATAGGAGCATGCCAAGTGGACGCTTAACCACTACACCACAATACCTACCCCAACTCCATTTATAAAGAACCCCCCAAAACCCACATGCTGGGCTAGCAGTGGGACAAGTAACTGAAAGTATCACTCATGGTAAGGGCAATTTTCATTACAAAAGATACTGAACTATTAATGCCACATTTAATCTACTTACTTATGCCTCATCATTCCACAAAGAAATTGAGACAGCTTTCAAAGACACAGCACATAAACTGAAGAGAAAAACTATTACGGAAAATGATTAGCCCAGCAGTGAAATGAGCACTCGCAGCCACAGCAGACCAGATGGCTGCTGGTTAGGAGCAAGCAGAGGGCTGCTGGAGACGGAGCTGACCTTGCAGCAACTGCAAGATTTTTCATGCAGTGGTTTAACAATAATGCCAACATTTATAATTTAGGGAAAGTTTAACATTTCCCGATACTGCAGTGGGAAAGAAACTTCTCTCCAATAGAGTCCACATACGGCCACTGAAGGATGTCACCACGGTGATGGAAGAGGTCTCCTGATTCCAGTGACAAGGCACAGTCCACACAGCTCTTTCTCATACCACCCTTAAGCCTAAGTCAACAGCATCACACTGAGGCACGATTCAGCTACAAAACCGCACGGCTGCGGTAGGTGCTGTGGCGCAGCAGGTTAAAGCCCTGGCCTGCAGCACCGGCATCCCAGAATTGCACTGGTTCATGTCCCAGCGGCTCCACTTCCGATCTAGCTCCCTGCTATGGCCCGAGAAAGCAGTAAAAGATGGCCCAAGTGCTTGGGCCCCTGCACCTGCGTGAGAGACCTGGAAGAAGCTCTTGGCTCTTGGCTTTGGATCAGCTCAGCTCTGGCCATTGTGGTAATTTGGGGAGTGAACCAGCAAATGGAAGACTTCTCTCTCCCCTTCTCTGGCTCTACCTCTCTCTCTCTCTCCCTCTCTCTCTCTCTCTCTCTGACAGGCAGAGTGGACAGTGAGAGAGAGAGAGACAGAGAGAAAGGTCTTCCTTTGCCGTTGGTTCACCCTCCAATGGCTGGTGCACTGCGCTGATCCAAAGGCAGGAGCCAGGTACTTCTCCTGGTCTCCCATGGGGTGCAGGGCCCAAGCACTTGGGCCATCCTCCACTGCACTCCCTGGCCACAGCAGAGAGCTGGCCTGGAAGAGGGGCAACCGGGACAGAATCCGGCGCCCCGACCGGGACTAGAACCCGGTGTGCTGGCTACCTCTCTAACTTTGTCTTTCAAATAAATAAACCTTTAAAAAAAAAAAAGCATGGTCCACACACACCTCCACTTGTAATACAAGAGCAAAACTGGGAATAAACTCTGGATCTGCAAGTCGCCAAGTTCTTCCATTCATATTGGATACTGGGTCACGTATTCGCTCCACCAAAATTCACTGACCACTTGCAAGGTGACAGACACAAGCAACAATAAAACACACAGCCGTTCTCACAAGTACTCTAGAGGTGGGACAAAGACACCACTGAACACCCCCATATCACCTGGTGACGCCTGCTACGGGGAAATGACGCAGGACAAGGTAACAGGCAGTGGGTGGGCCGTGCACAGCTGCTGTTTACTGAGGGTCATCATGGATGCAGCACCACTGGGGAGAGATGAGAGGGAAGCTACAAGCAGCTGGAGTGGGCGGTGCCAAGGCCCTGCTGGGCATGGCTGAGTGACTGTGGGACACCCAGGGCAGCAGAGGCAGGGTAAGGGAGGGTCTCAGGAAGATGAAGGAGCCTGAGTCTTCTTCAGAAGACCCTAGTGCGTCTGCTTCGCCTCTGCAGACTGCCAGACTTTTCCAGAACATGGCCACGATCAGCTCAGCTTCAACCCTGCACTAAAAGACGCCTTCAGACACCCAGCAGAGACAGGCGCAGCCCCACTACGCTGTACGTAGACTATCAGAACAAGGGCACTAGGCTGATAGTGTCTACTTCTACACAGCCACCGAACGTCCTCACTTGGCTTCTTCGTGAAGCCTCCAGTAGTTTTGAAAACAAACTGCACCCTGTGTAACTGACCTGCACCCTGTATAACCGACACGCACCCTGTGTAACCGACATGCACCCTGTGTAACCGACATGCACCCTGTGTAACTGACACACACCCTGTGTAACCGACATGCACCCTGTGTAACCAACATGCACCCTGTGTAACCGACCTGCACCCTATATAACTGACCTGCACCCTGTGTAACCAACATGCACCCTGTGTAACCGACCTGCACCCTGTGTAACCGACATGCAGCACTGAATCATCCTGCAAGGATGCTGAGCTTCAGGTCAAAGACCACCGGCACCGGCCGACAGCAGAACCTCCCATCCCACAAGGGTGCCTGCGTTTGTCAATGCAACCTAACTCATCCTGGGCTCCGCAACGCGGTGACAAATCACTCAGAGGAGTGGATTCTTCTCCCACAGTCTGCTGAGATCCAACAGATACCCAGACAAAGGATCTATAAGACTACTGGCAACTGGATCCACACGGAGTTCAGAGAGCTTTAGCCCTTACAAACTCCCAGATGGGACAAGTAAATAGTAAGGAACACAGCAAACGCCGTGTCTCGGTCTGGACAAGTTTGTCCTTTGGTCACAGAGAACACATCCATGGCCGACAGTGCACACGCTGGGGACAAGGACCCACCCACTGCACAGAGAACACAGGGAGAGAAAACTAGGCTGCAATTTCTGTCAGGACGAAAATGGGTGTACAGTTCGGGTGTGCACTATGAGCCTACAAATCAAACCTTTCGTACAACAATCCGCGTAACGTTAATGTCTACACTCACTCGTAATATGCCTGTACCAAATTCCATAGGGATGGTTTACCTGCTCAGCCAATAAAGAAGCCAAGCTTGAATAAGCATCTGCAAACTCCGGGCCGTATCTGATGGAGTCCTTCAGTAAGGTGATAGCTTCCTCCTTCTTCTCCTGGGACCTGCAGGTGAGAAGGGAGAGCACATCCTTTCACCACACTTGGTGCAAATCATCCGATGGGAACGTAAAACGCCCTCCTCCGTGCAACGGGCAGCGACTCACGCTGCGTTTCAGTGCGAATGAATTAAACTGGCTTCTAGCAAGGTGCTGCCACATCTGTGTGAATTCTCACTGGAAATACACAGTCAGACGGCTGTGAGGCTGAGGGTTAGTCCTTGACTCAACCTTCTATTGCTAGGCACCATTGAGGGTTTTATCTAATAGTCTGTAAGTTTAGTTGCTTTTCTGGGGGCACCCTCAGGGTGGCACGGAGTCACCACAGCAATGCAGTAGCTGATCTAAACCCTGTGGCCTGAGCTGCCCATGGCGGCTGAGCCCCCTGCCAGGGACAAGCCAGGCTACCCTGCCAATACGCAGCTTTGGTGTTCTATGACGGGGAAAGTTCATACAGAGTCTATGCACTTAGAAAAGTAAGCCATTTTATCATCACATTGTTCCTAAAACCAGGGCTGGCTGGATCTTTTTTGCTCTGTGATTGGTTTAAAGAGGGCTGAAAGCCTGGAGGTCTTTGCTGTTTTCGTGGGTAAAGTTCTCTTTCCTGATACTATCGTGGGGAGACACTGGGTCATAATCCTGAAATCAAAATCCACAAAGAAAGAAAATGTACACTTGGCAGTGATCAACTTTGCTTCTAATACAATTCCGCAAATGCTGATCTTGTGTTACAGGCAGACATCGGAACTGGGAAAACCAAAGTGGAATGAAGAAGGGAACTCCTTGAACTGTGGAGAGCACACAGCCTAAAGGACCCGCATCCTCACCAGCTACCAGGCAGGGCTGTGTGCATGTGTCTTGAGAATTCATGGGCTTAGCCATAACTGTGTACTGTTTGTTCTCATAGATTTTACTACTATTATTGATTCTTAAAACAAAAATTCTATGTGTATATTTATTGACCTATTATTACACTTACTTTCCTTTTTTTAAAAAAAGTTATTTACTTATTTGACAGGTAGAGTTACCGCAACAGATGGAGAGATGGAGGAGGAGAGAAAGAGAGATCTTCTACCTGTTGGTTCACTCCCCAAAAGGCTGCAAAGGCTATAGCTAAGCCAGGCCGTAATCAGGAGCCAGGAGCTTCATCTGGGTCTCCCACATGCGTGCAGGGGTCCAAGGGCCTAAGGCATCTTCTGATGCGTTGCCAGGTGCATCAGCAGAGAGCTGGATCAAAAGTGGTGTAGCCAGGAAGCAAAGCAGCACCCATATGGAAATGCAGGGCTCTCAGGCAGCAGCTTAGCCAGTTGAGCCGCAATGCCGGCCCCTAATTATACTCATTTTTCTAACGGGAAAGTCTGCGTTCAGAGAAGTGAGGGCACGCAGCTACGTTCACATATGCAGTCTCCAGAGCACCCCTCCTCCACACCGCATCGGCTAATTCTCACCGCTTAGAAACCCAGCCCTTAGATCGTGCTGCTCAAAGTGTGATTCAGGGTGCAGCACCAACTGGAAACTTACTAGAAACGCAGAATCCCAGTCCCCATCCTGACCTACCAAATTGGACCCCGCATTTTCAAAAGATTTCCAGGCGATCTGCCCGCAGAACTGCTCTGCGAATTATCAAAAGGCAGCTGAGCCGCACGCCTGTGCCAGTTCCCTACAGCGTTACCCAACGTAGAGGGAAGGTAGGGAGAGGGAAAGTGACCTAGAGGGAAAGTGACGGTCAACCGTGCAAGTCAGAGTTCTTGGTTAACGGAAGCAGCCTGTTACAAGGTGACCTCTCCGAGCAGAGCTTCCCAGCGCAGGCCTTGGGGGCAGGAAGTCATACTTCCAGCATCAATGCTGGATTTACTGAGGCAATTGCACAAGCATTTATCATTGTCTGCCATGTGCCAGGCGCTGAGCTAAAGTCTAGCCAACTCCGACGTGCTCCTGGGGAGGCCGTCACGATCTAGAGTGTGACACCGGTGTCTTCACAGGGACTGTCCCGTGGACAAGTGCGGCTCCAGAGCTGCAAGGTGGAAACAGATCTGTGCTGCAGACCTCAGCGCTTTCTTGTTGTTTCAATGCGCATTTAAATAACGTCTGCAAAACTCCATATGCTCCTGCACACTCGAGTTCTGCTCCAAAGTATCCTTTCCACTAATGACTCCACTGGCACACATCTTTATAATTAAAATCTATTTTTTAAATCCTGGTAATTTGACTGTGGTTTTACAGTCCGCAGAACTCTTCCTCCAAGGATTCTGTAAATCTTCACTAACATCCATCCGGAACTCCTCCCAAACTCCAAAGGAATATACAGACTTAGGCTGAAAGTCCCTGAGGGCATAATTTAGCTGGGATATTCATCAAAATCAGCAGAGAAAAGCCAACAGCTTGATAGAAATGATTGAGTGCTTTGTACTTGTCATGGCTCACATCTGTTAGAAAGGAAACTTAGATTTTTTAAAAAATATATAAATATATATATATATATATATATATGAACTCAGCAAGACTGGCTGGCATTTAAGACTATCTAGGGATACACCTGTAAATACTTCAGGTCTCCCAGGAACATTCCTGAGACACACACAGTGATTAACCTCAGTGAGCTTGTATCTCTATGGAAAAAGCTCTATCTCGTGGCGGGTGTTTGGCATAGAGGTTAAGGCACCACATCCCATATCAGAGAGCCAGGGTTTGCATCTCAGCACTGCTCTGGATTCCTGCTTCCTGCTAACGCAGACCCTGGGAAGCAGCAGTCGATGGCTCAAGCAGTTGGATCCTAGTCACTCATGTGGAGAACCTGGATGGAGGTCCTGGCTCCTGGTTGCAGCCTGACCCAGCCCCACCTCTCCCAGGAATTTGGGGAGTGAACCAGCAGATGAAAGATTCTCTGTATATGTGTCTCTCTCCGTCTTACTACCTTTCAAACACAATAGTAATAGGGAATAAATGCAGAAAATATTTTAAATTCTAAAAATCCTTCGAGGCACTGCCAGACCTTAAGAAAACTCACCACGTGGTTAGTTTCACACGTGAGGATGACAAGGTGCAAATACTGAAGATCCTTCCTCCAGGCCTGCATGCTTGGGTGGCTCTGGGTTTGTCTGGGAGCCTTTGGGGTCAGACTAACTGACAGCATGTGCCACTAGGGGAGGGGTTTTACAAGGTCCTTTTAAGAAAGCCCAAAAAGTTGCTAAGTGGTCAGTTATTTCTCCCATAGCCTCTCTTGCTTATTACCCTCTGGTGGCAGCTTAAGAAACACCTATGATTTTGACACAAACCTGTATGGAAAATAATTCATGTAAATGAAGCTTCCTTGGTCTTGTAGCTATGGCTACTGTGTGGGCACTAAACGTTACTGCAAGCTGTCTGTCTCAGTGGCATAGGCTGCTCTGCCAACCACCCACGACAGGGGCAGCGTTCCACATCTCCGCTGGATCCCTGCAGTCCAGAGCGCACCTCGCTCACCTGAGCTTGTAACCTCTTTGTTCACACACCTGCTGCCAGCTCTTTTCTTCCTCCACATACTGCATACAGACGGCTGAAAGACATGTGTCTACAACACTGCTTTCCACGTGTTCTCTAACACGAAACTCTTGACTAACACCCATCTGCCAACAGATGGATTCAGTCTGAAGCCCCACAATACAGTTCTGACCAGTACTCCAACATACCCAGGCACCCCTGCTCCAGCCAGGCTCGATAGCCTTTGCCAACTGTGCTGTACAACCCAGCACATCAGCCACTGCACAGCCTCTCTGTCTACAGTGTCCCTCAACCTCATCTGGACTGCTTTAAAACAGGCTTTAGAGTTCCCTGGTTAAGCCCCTTAATAGGATGCTCTCACGTGTTTATGTCAACTGCTCAGTTTTAGGAATCAGGGAGAGAATCGGATGTTCCTGAATTACAGGGGTGGAAGACGAGACCGAGAAAGCCTCCATGATTTGCCCTGGTCCCAAGAGCAAAAGAAGGACTGGTCCCTGTGGTCTTGTGCCCCTCAACCTGGCAGTCCCACCACGGCAATTCACAGGGGGCTCTGCCCTGCCCCCACGCCACTTCTGGTTGTGCTGGGAAGCTTCCCTGACCAGCCCAGGATGGGAAAGTATCATCCTGTCATCAGAGCTCCTGAACACGTAACACAGCAAGAACAAACACGCACACACACACGTGTATATATAATCTGTATCACCTTCCTGATGATTCCTGAGTGTCCTCTGGCTCTCCCATGTGGGTGCATTGGCCCAAGGACCTGAGCCATCTTCTGTCACTTTTCCCAGGCCATTAGCATGGAGCTGATGTGAAGAGGAGCAGCTGGGACTCCAACCGGTGTCCAAATGGGATACGAGTGCTGCAGGTGGCAGCTTAACCCCCGTGCCACAGCGCCAGCACCTCCTTATGTTTGTAGATTACTTTTCTTAATGGCTCTTGAAAAGCACCTCAAATTTTAGTCATGGTGCAAACGTAATAAATAACACATTTGTAGAACAAACTCATAGCTCATAGCACATCCTTCAAAACCAGAACAGCCAAATGCAAAGGCAGTACACACTCTTAGTTTTAATTTTAAAAAGATACACATTAGAATTGAACTACTATACTGTTTCCTTTCTGCAGTGAGAAGACACATGTTTTGTGGTGAGCAATGGTTTACCAAACACTAAATCCAAGGGAGAGATCCCAAGTGCAGCTGCTTCCTAACCCAACCCACGCTGAGCTTCGCCAGTGGGACATCATCTTGTTGGATTTAATTTTTTAAAAACATTTGTTTTATTTATTTGAAAGACAGAGATACAGAGAGAGGTAGAGCCAGAGAGAGAGGGGGGTCTTCCATCTACTGATTGGCTCCCCAAATGACTGTAACAGTCAGAGCTGCGCTGATCTGAAGCCAGGAACCAGGAGCTTCATCCGGTCTCCCACATGGGTGCAGGGGCCCAAGGACTTGGGCCATCTTCTACTGCTTTCCCAGGCCCTAGCAAAGGACTCGATCAGAAGTGGAGCAGCCAGGACTCGAAC